CCGCCAGCAGCGCGACCGCCGTGCCGCCCCTGCAGGTTTGACATGGGCCCCCAGCATTATGAGGATTTTAATCCATGCAGTGAGGCGGTGTAGCAGAAGCAGAATCATACTGCAGCTAGGCCAGGTGGGGGCCACACTGATCCTGCAATAAGCGTCCTCAAGCAGCAACGAAGGAGATGTGGGACCAGCGCAGCCGGTCACGAGCATAGGGGAAGGGGGGCCGATCGCGTCAACACACGCGTGAGGCGTGCCCCGGCATGACATGCGGCCGCAGGCGCACCAGAGGGTCCGCGTGTCTCCGGGGCCGAGGCCCCTGCCCATCTGGATGGCCGCGACTGCGAAGAACAGCGCCCCCGTGGCCAGCAGCACCGCCGTGAGCGTGTCCTGCGCAGCATCCTTTGAGTACTTGAAGCAGACGAGGGCGTACCACCAGCCGGAGATGAACCCCAGGATGCTGCGGGGCGGGGCAATGAAAGGTATTGCACAGGGGATAGCAGGTAGGGCGGCAACGACGTTGGTCGGCTTGGTGTGTGTGCTAGTTTCGTCGCCGCAACAAAGGCGGCGGGTTCAGGGCGAGCGCAAGGTGCGTCGTGATTGTTGGGCGACCGGTTTGGGCCGGTGTGTCGGTGCCAGGGGGTGCGAGGGGCGGGGGTTGCTGCGCGCAAACCCGCGCCTGCGGCACGCGCAAAGCGCAGGTGACACGAGGCTGCGGCTGCCGATGGCTGGCGGGGCGGCGGCCCCGGCCAGCAAAGAGCCCTGGCCCCTGCGTCCGTGCCAGGGCGCTCACTTGGGTACAAAGATGAACCTGGGCATCAACCAATAAGCGTGCACGTGGGGAGGGGTCATCGTTTGACATTTGAGGTGCATACCTAGTGATTGGCACTTGCAATGCCACACCGGCTGGGCGAGCAGAGGTTGCCTCGTTCCTGGGCAGCTACCGCCCTGGTGGCAGTCTGACGAGCTGCACGCTGGCGCTGTGCACCCAGAGCCCGCTGCCTCTGACTCTGGTTACGCACCAATCGCGGATGCAGAAGCCATACAGAAGCCAGCCCAAAGCGTTGGAGCCCCTAGGTGGAAGGTGCGTGCGTGGGCTTGAGTCATGAGTGCAAGCAGCGTGGTTAATCCCACGTTCCATGCAGTGTGCACAAAGGAGGTGCTGGGGGATATGCAACACGCAGGCGTTGTGCAAAGAAGCGTGCGCCCCGCCTGGGGGTACCGGAAGGACTGATCGATAGAGCAGTGTGCAGCTGCTGCTGCTGCTGCTGCTGCTGCTGCTGCTGCTGCTGCTGCTGCTGCTGCTGCTGCTGCTGCTGCTGCTGCTGCTGCTGCTGCTGCTGCTGCTGCTGCTGCTGCTGCTGCTGCTGCTGCTGCTGCTGCTGCTGCTACTGCGTGTAGCAGGCCCTAGCCGCTGGCTGTTGACTCTGCTGCCAACGGCTAGAAGCCCGCCCGTTCGGCACGGGCGGCGAGCCGTTTATTATTGAACCACGCCACGCTACGCCGCAGGCCGCAATGGGGGCCGCGAGCCGCGTCAGCGCAGCCGCCGCCTCGCGGCTCACATGAGGGCGAAGGGGAGGGCGTTGACTTCGCCAATGAAGCGCCGCCGCCGCACTTCCCGCACGGCCGGCAGCGGCGAGCTTTGACGTGGGGAGGTGACAGGACGCGCAATAGATTACGTAAGCATGTGGAGGTGCGGCGCTCTCTTGCGCGCCTGCTTGCGCGGCGCGGCCCCTGGCTCGCATGCCGGGTGCCCACGGTTGCACCCTGGTGTGACTTGCTTTTGGGTGGTGATGGCCCGCGGCTCGAGCACCCTGCCCCATCCCTCCCCGCTGCGGCAGCACTCGCAACGCCGGCGCCGCTCACATGTATAGCAGCAGCAGGAGGAGGCATCCCAGCGCGGGGCAGACGTATTGCAGCGCGATATCTCGCGGCTCCATCGGCGTCCGCGGCAGGGGCAAGGTGGGGCCGCGGCCGGTCACCCCAACGGCTTGCGCTTGAAGTGGTGATGCCTGGCAAGAACGAATACAGGATCAGGGTGCGGCGGTGTGCGCTGGGCCTGCGTGGGCGGGTGGGCCCGCGGCGGTTGCGCTCGCGCGGGATCCGGCGGGAAAGAGTCGCGAGCGTGTCGCAGTAGCCGCCGCAGCGCGGCAGCGGGCAGGCGGGTATACGCAGAATACCGGCCCTGGCGTATGCGTAAGTTGGATCTTTTTTTTACAGGTCTCAGGTATTGCAGTTGATGCTTCGGATAGACCCAGATTCTGCGAGCACGGTGTTTCGAAGAGGCCGCAACGAAACGTGGCCGGGTCGCGATGGTGCGCCCTGATACGATTTGATTGATCAAATATGGACATGTATATCTGTGCAGGGTGACGGCGTGTGTGCAGAGCAATCCAACCTGGCACAATCAGCGTCACCTCTGTCACCGTGCATGCGTGGCCACAGTGGCCGGCAGCCTCGCTCGTGCACCGCCCAAGTCACCAGCCGGCCCCAAAGCGACGTCTGCATATGCAGCGACCGTCAAACCCTCCTCGTATACTCTTTCTTCGCTGCCTCAACGACTTCTTGTGCAGCAGGCCTAGCTACCCTAGCCCGCCCAACCACTGGGCCAGCCGGGCGCTGCGCACCCAGTCAGTGGGTGAGCGGCACATCACACGGCCGGCTTGCACAAAGCGCTGGCTGCTTTCTTGGGAGTCCTGACGGTGCGCACAGACCGCTTCTCGTCATATGCGCACCGCTTACTTCCCCTGACGGGAACTTCGTCCTCAATCGCCTCCACCTCCCCTCGCTGGCATGACCATAACCTCCTCCCACCCCTGGGCACCCTTTGCCGGCCTGTGTGATGCTGCAACGCGGCCTTTCCGTCCAATCTGCTGCCCTGGGCCCTAAAGCGCAAACTTCGCTGTGCTACTTGACGCGTTCCCAACCCCTGACTGGCACACCACTGGGCTGCCGTTCCCTGCAACAACATGAGCGCGCTGTGCTGCCGACTTGAAATAAGTATCCTTGATTACACGGCGCCTCGCAAAGCAGCGCTGCAAAAATCAGGCTCTCTCAAACCTGTCAGCCGCTGCAGGCAGTCACCAACCTACAGCACTTGCAACGCAGCAGGCTGGAGCCCTGTGCACCCCTGCCCGCCAGTCCCACTACCTAGGTCTGACCACCCCCACCCTGTGTGACCCAACCCAAACCTTCTCTTTTGCCCCTATTCATCTCTGTCACTGACTATGTCACTCAACAAAGTGTCCGGATACTCACGGTGTCCCTAGCTACGATGCTGTCAGCAACTCATTTGAGCCTGAAATCAAGGTAAGCAGTCCAGGGTACCAAAACTACACACTCTGCTCCTGAGCGCTGCCACTTGCCGGACCGGACTGGTCCACGTGCACGGCCGCCGCAAACACTAATTGCCTTTTGTCGGCGCCGCCCGGCCTACCGCGCCGCCCCGCCCGCCGCTGCCGGCCCGCAGCCCGCCGCCACCACCGCCGCCGCCGCGGGCCCGCCCTGCTGGGGGCTGCTGAGGCGCTCCATGAGTGCCACCGCCGGCGTGACCTTCTGATCGCGCGTGCGGCGGTCGTAGGTGTCCCGCTGTTTTGGGGGTTCAGGCGGTTTGGGGGTATGGGGACGGTGTGGTTGGGGAGAGTATGGTTGCATTTGTGTGTGTGTGTGTGTGTTTGTGCGTGCGTGCGTGCGTGCGTGTGTGTGTGTGTGTGTGTGTGTGTGTGCGCGTGTGCACGCACACGGCTGGGGAGAAGGGCATTGCGGCTGCCAAGGGAAGGATCAAGGGAGAGCGAGCCGGGGGAAGCTGCGGGCGTGAGGAGACCTCGAACGTGCTGAATCGCGATATGTGCAGCTCGGTGCAGCCGTGCAAGGATCTGCGTGCGCCGTGCAACAGGCGGTGTTGTGTTTTGGATTGCGCTTGATGAGCTGACGGCGCTTGCCCTGTCCTGAGGGCTCCCTGGCAAGACACGCTGCCTGCAACAAAAACTGCCCAGCTGCCGCGCCAACTTGGCGTCATGTAAGCCTCCCATGTGATGACGAGCCCTGCATGCGTCAGGTGAGCAGCAACCCACCCACACGTTCTCCCACAACCCCCAGGAATGCAAGAGTGCCAACAAAACAGTTGACTCGCCTGCATCGCCACGCTGTGGCCCATGTAGATGGCTAGGGCTTCCATTTCCCCCTCACTGGTGCCGCGAGACCTGGTGAAGTTGTTTGCAATTGCGCACAAACGTATGCGAACTTGAGAGTGCGTATGATTGTATGTGTGTGAGACACAGGGAGTGTGCATGTGTGCGCACGCGCGCGAGCTGGGAGGAGGAAATGCGACTTCATGTGGGGTTGCTAGTGAGGTTGGATGTGTTTGTGCGAGGCGGGGAGCCGATCACATGTTCAGCAACCATCCAAAATCTATGCGGCCAGCCCGTCACCTGAGGTGCGTGACGACCATGTCCCTCACGAGGTGGGGGTTGGTGGCCTTCCCGGTGCGGCGCTGGCAGGTGTGGACTGGGGTCGGCGGGATGAGGGCGGGGTGCGTTTGGGTGTGCAGGGGGTTGATTGCAATTGTGGGGTTGTGGGGCACCAGGTGACTGAGATTTGCATGGGGTGAAAGTGGACCGGGGTTGGGAAAGGGGAGGCGGTGCGGTCGAGGGAGGGCGGTGGTAGTGTCAGGGTTCGTGGCAGTGATGACGGTCAGGAAGCTGCGCTGGGGGGAGGCCGAGAAACGTGCAGCCCTGAAGCTTGGGGCTCGCCCCGTGCTTGGGCCCCTTTGCCTAAGAGTTGAGGGGCAACAGGTTGCCTCAAGCAGGTGGCACATACGCACACACACACACTCTCTCTCTCTCACACAAACACACGAACACGTGCAAACACCAATGCTCGCTTCCGGAACACCTGCTCTTATAAATCCACCCACACAGCACATCCATGCAAAGAAACCCACATCCCCACGCAATGCAGAAGCACGCACGCAGATGCGCCGCCGCCCCGCCCCCCCACAAGCCTCCTTACAGCACTCCGAACACAAGCGACCAGGCAAGTTCGGTCTCTGGAGACAGTTTGAAACACCACCACCCGCACAGCGCTTTGGTTATGCAGCCAAGCTCTGCCCCTTGGGGGGGTCGAGCTGTAGCGGCTGGGGCCTGGTGGTCATGATTTAGGTGGTGCCTAATTTATGGCAGGCCCCATCCTCAGCAGCCTGTCCCCCCTGTCAATCCCAAAGGAGCAGCTGTGGCGCAAGCTCGTTGTGTCTCTCTGCAGCAGCGCACCGAACATGTCGTAGAGCGCCTTGTCAGTGAGGGGCCCTCCCCCCAGGACGCGCGTGAAGAGGAAGTCGTGGCTGGGGTTCAGCTCAGCCCTGGGGGGGGTGAGCGGGGCGGGAGGTTTGCGCATGTGTATGATTGTGTGTGTGTGTGTGATTGCGTGTGAGTGGGGGGGGGGTGTGGGTGTGCGCTCATACGTGCACATATGCGTATGTGGGGGTTGAGGGAGTAGGGGGGGGGCAAGGATCATCCATGAGCATGCAAGGAGCTTCAGGCAGGCAGCGCGCTCGAAGAGAGTGAAGACCGCCGGGTCCGGTCTGAGCCACCAAATCACGCGCACTGCCACCACTTGCCCCCCCTCCTACTCAACACCTGCACGCACCACCCTGTCCCCCCTGCGGCCGGCGGTTTCTTCCAGACAGCTTTCAGGGATCATGAGATGGTCACCCGCGCAAATTTGTCGGATGCTGTCACCTGCCCCCACCCCTCTCATGCCCAAGAAAACGTCCCAAGAGGGGCGGCAGCAAATAGCAGCACACAAACAACCGCGGCGGCCAATATCTTGCTGAGGTCATCTTGAGGAAGACATCCCCACGCTGCAGCCACCATAGCAATTTCATGAGCAAACATGCTCCAGCCCGAAACGACACAAAGATCACTTTTGTAACCACTCTAGACCCACCACGCGCGCGCACACATACACACACTCACACACACACGCGCATACACAAATGCGCACACACACAAAAAATGCAAGACACACGCGCACGTGCTCACGCACACGGACACAACCCTATAACAAGGTCGCTATCCACCACAGTCCCACCTGAACTCATTTATGTAGGCCTCCAGCTCTGGGTAGAGGAAGGACGCAATGACCAAAGGGGGGCGCTGCCCGTACAGCTTCCCCGTCTTGTAGTCGGCCGCTGTGTGGCGGATCAGCCACCTACAGGAAGGGCACGTGTGTAAGTGTGCGTGTGTGTGAGAGGTCATTTTACAAGGCCGCCCATGTTTGTGGTTCCGGGGTTAGAGGCTCACTGCTGTTCTGTGAAGCCAATGTGGACTGTCTGCGAGCGAGCCGCAAGCCGGAAGCCCAGGTATGGCAACGGCGGCTGCCATGAGCGGGGTGTGGGCTTTGCTTCTGATTGAGGAAACGTTTTGAAAGCTACCCAGCAAGGTCTGTGACGGGTGTGTCACATCCAACACACACACACACACACACACACACACACACACACACACACACAACCCCAAGGCTCATGCGCACACACGTACGCGCACCACAAACGCGCCCTACCTGCCGTCCTCCTTTACCAGCGTGCGGCCCAGCTGCAGCTCACGCAGGGTGCGCTGGCGGTCTGGGATGCACGACAGGATGGCAAATATCTTGAAAGGGATATGGCGAGGGGCGGGGAGAGGGGAGAGGGAGGGGAGGTGGAGTGATGGCGTGTGCTGGCGCCTTGTGAATTACAGTATTCCAGCGCGGCTTTGGTGATGCAAGAAGGCAGCGGCAAAACATCAGCGCCCGACAGGGAGCAAAAGGGGGTTGGGTCAAGTCCGGGCAAGGCGGTGGACTGCCAACATCTAAATCACGTCTGCGAGCGCAGGCGGCACGGTCGCAGCACGTGGTGGTGTCGTGGCGGCCCCGCGCAGAGCAGGCACACAGCATGGAGCGGCGCCGCTGTGGCGGCATGGGTGCGCTCACCAGGTAGCGCTGCAGACACACTGCCACCTCTTTCCGCGACCGCGGCACACCAGAGGTTGTCAGGCCTATATGCCATTCAAGGGTGGCCCCCAGGTATGAAAAATCAAGAGCCAGGGCCCAAAGATGAGGGTTGAGGGGATGTGGGGTTTAGGAGTGGGTGTGAGTTTGGCACAAAAGCGTGGGCCGCGTGCGAGGCAGCAAGGTTGCTGGGCGATACCCCATCTTGAGGGTGTGCCGGCGGGCGACAGCCCCGCCAACCGCAAGGGAACACAGCGACGACTCCAAGCAGCGCCTGGCCGAGCGCTGACGCTCCGCCCGTGTGCGGCGCTTTTAGACGGCGACAGAGCCGAGGGCGTGCAGTACGCGGGGGCCATGTGGTGTGTGTTTGTTTTTGAGTTGCGTGCTTGCGGCGCCCGTCGAACCCACCCGCGCACTCCCCATGCAGCTCCCTGACTAGGCCGAGGAACTCGTCCCACTCCAGCCACTTGAGGCGCTCGTCAGCAACCAGGGGGGCCTAGGAGCACGATATAGATAATGAGATAGATAGAGAGAAAGTGTGTGTGTGTGAGAGAGAGAGAGAGAGAGAGAGAGTGTGTGTGTGTGTGTGTGTGTGTGCGTGTGTGTGTGTGTGTGTGTGTTCGTATACGCTCAATCTTGAGTGTGCGCGTGCATGCGCGTGTGTTGTGTTACAAAGGGGTAATGCTGAGAGAAGGATCGGCGTGCAGGGGCCAGAACGAGGGGTTCGAGGGGAGATTTGGTGAGCGGGTTGGGGTTGGGAATGGGGCCCAGCGTCACACGATATTGCAGACTGCAGCACGAGCTCCACGTGCCTTTTTGACGGCTTTGTGCGCCTTTGACACCAGCTGCTTGAGGGCCGCCATCACCGGCAGGTCACTGCAGAGGAGGCGCAGGAGGGAGGGGGACGGCGGGCGCGTTGTCGATGCGAGTGGGCAAGAGCGCATGGTGCAAAAAGGGGACGGCAGGCGTGGCCAGGGCAAGGGGAGGCGCCAAACTCTCAGGCAACGTTCCCCCTATGGGCACAAGCAGCAGGGCGGCCCCTCTGCCGCCCGCCGGCCCCTGCAACAGGTATCCGGACACACGCGCGCACACACACACACACACTTGCGCGCGCGCGCGCGCACGCGCGCACGTGCATGTGCAAACACACACGCATGCATGTGCATGTGCATAGACACAGACACAGACCTGTAGGGCACGGCCTTCGGGTTGGCCCGGTCCACCTGCGGCGCCAGGGCAACGAGCGGAGAGGCGGGCGCGGAACGTCGGCTGCACGCTCAGGGCGGCCGCATGGGCAGAGGGCTGCAGCCTCTGCTTCGCACACGGAGCATGGACGGACAACCCAGTACAGCTTTGAACCTTGACATTGCACCATCACGAGGGCTCCGCCCAATGACGTGAAGCCCAGGTCGGGAGTTGAACAGGGCAGGCCGATTGCCCCGTGAACCTCGGACAACCCCGTGGCCTAACCTTGGACTCCCCGTGGTACAGGAAACGCACAACGTGCACGCATGCGGCCAGCACGTTGAACTGGGTGCGGGGGTTGGCCTTGCGCTCCTGTGACGCGCGAGAGACAGAGGGGCACAGGGGGATCAGCCATCAAACAGGGGACACACGTGGATTACGTGCGACCATTCGCGGCGCAACTGGAGCCTGGTTTCGCGAGGAGACCTATGCCTGGATACTTTTGAAGAGGCGGAGGGAGTCCCTGCTGACATTGACAAGAAGCTGCCGCAAGCACCCAAGCACGCTCCGCCGCAGTCCGCATGAAGGCCAACACTTGTGTATTAATAGGAGACCACGCCGCGTGTGACAATCAGCTGTGGCGGATGGCTGCGCACCACACGCGCATACACGGTCATTGCACACGACAGCGGTCAAGCATTGCAAGCCCCCAAGCTCACGTTGACCAGGAACTGCACAAAGTCAAACGCGTGGGTCACGCCCGCCTCCTCAACAGAGGGGAACATCGAGCGCAGGGTCAGAGACTCCAGGGGCACCCCCCTCCAGCGGTGCAGCCACCCGAGCATCGTCCTGCGGCGGGGCACGGTACCGAGCGCATGCGTGGGGCGTGGCAGGCGGTGGTGTGGCCTGTGGCGCGCCAGTGTGGGTCTGGTCAGCCCGTGGTGGGTTGTGAGGTGGAGCGTATGTTTGCTGTGTGCTGTCGCGCACGTGTCTGTCCATGTGTGTCCATGGGGAGGGGGCGAGTGTGCCCTGGCGCGCTGCAGCGTCCTGCTGAGGGGCATAAGCACCCCGTCGGGGTTGCAGGATAACAAGGATATGCAGAACCATGCTGTCATTGTAGACCATGTGACTCCTTGGCAGAACACACAAACACACACACACACATACATACACTTGCACGGATATCAATGTATAAATACCCCAGCAGGTGCAGCAACGCGCACACACGCAAACAATCGCTCACACACACACACATACATACATACATACATACATACATACATACATACATACATACATACATACATACATACATACATACATACATACATACATACATACATACACACACTTATACCCCTTACGTAAACACACACACACACACACATGCACACCCCTACCCCAACCCCCCGCCCCTCACTTGATGTACTGCACGTCCACCTTATGGGTGGTGGGGCTGATAGGCTCCACCCTCTGGCCAAAGAAGCGGCCGCGGCTGAACGCTTCCAGCTCAGCAAGCTCAGCCCTCAGCGCTTCACTCATCTCTTCATCCTTTCGGGGTGCGTTTGTGGTTCAAGGGGAGGTGTGGGTGTGGGCAGGGCTGGGCGGGGGGAGGCGGCAGAGAGGGGACAAGAGGATATTGGATGGGGGTGCGACTGGAAAGGGAGGGTGGGCAGGAAAAAACATGCTCACGGAGAGATGGGAGGGGGCACAACAGCGAGCAGCGACTGGAGGGGGGAGCCGCTGCATAAAGGGGCTTGGGTGCACCGCGTGTGTGGTGTTGGTCGCATGATATGTGGATGCACCAGGGTTGCGGCTAGGGCTGGAGAGGCAATGGGAGGCGAAACAAGCAGAGGTGTCAATGAGTCAACGGATGAGCATGTGCAGGTGCGGCAGCTGCCGTTGAAAAAGCCGCGCACCCGTCATGCCACATCAACGACGTCGGGGTGCAGCTTGATACCTTTTTCAGCTCAGGTCTCTAAATGAAACCGGCTACCCCCTGAAAAACAAAAAACCCTCAGACGACAGTCTCAATCGAATCGCACCCTGAGGCCGTACGGCGCCTGCTTGGTGCGCCGCGTCACCCGCACATGCGCCCGCGAGAAAAGGCGGCGCCGCGGCGGCGCGCGGCGCTGCATTATGTCCGGATGCAGCTCCGCCGCGCCGTCGCCGCCGCCCTCGCTTCGACCAGGCGTCTCGGCGCCCTCGGCCGCCTCTTCGGCAGCCGCGTCCGCCCGGGCGCCTTCCGTAGCGGGGCCGTCCGCCGCCGAGGCCAGGGTGCTGCCGATATAGCTCCAGACCTTCAGTGGCACCGACAGCGCCGCCGCGTCCTCCCGGCTCAACGCGGCGACGTCCGCGGCCGTCTCCAGCCAATTGTCCCGCAGCCGCTGCACCTGCAGTGCGGGCGGCAGCGTGGGCTTTGAAACTGAGTTCAATCGGCGCCAGGCAAAGGCTGGGGTGGGCAGCTAGAGCACGGATGTGACAGCACGGAGGGCGCTGGTCCTGGCGGGATGCGCAGCCGGGCGGCCGCCGCAACACAGCTTCTGCGGATAGCTGCGGCGTAGGGGCCCATGAAGCCTCCGTGGAACACAGGATTCTGAGGATTGGGGGCTTTGATTGGGATTGGGGGCTCGAGCATTCGATGCAGACCGGGGTTAAAAAAAACGCACCAGCCGCAGCTCTGCATCCCCCAGCCGACGGCCCGCCGCCTCTGCAGCTGCCGCCACCGCCGTATCCACCAGGTCGCCGGGTTGCAGCTGCCGCCCGGGCAGCTCCTGCAGCTTCTGCTGCTGCTGCTGCGGCTGCAGCTCGGCTGACGCGGCCGCGCATGCGAGCGGCGGCGGCGTGCCACCCGCGGCGTGCTGGCGGCGGCGCGGGCGCGGGGCCGGCGGCGGCGCGGCGGCACAGTGCGACAGGCCTGGAGGGAGGGGCGTGGGAGCGCTGCATTGTTGACGCACGTGCCACACCCCGCTGCCTCGCTACATTTCAGGCGAGCGCTTGTCGCTGAAGCTTACCGCTCCATGGCGTCACTGAGCAGTGCTGCAACCCGCCGCCAAGGCGCTGCATCAGCGGCGACATTGCTTCGCAGTGTCGCGGCGTGCCAACAACGGCCGCTCCGGTGATATTGCCAGGGACTGCTCGCTATGAGAGCGCCTATGCAGTGAGCAGACAAATGATCTGCTTCACAAGCTTGATTAAGCAAAGCAGTTGTGATGCACGAGTGATCAGACTTCAAGCTGATCTGTCATGCAGCGAGATAGTCCAATCGCAGGGCATTGGAAATTGATCTCACACATTTGGTTTGCTCGCCACCGAAGATAATGTACGGTGCCAGTACACGCACGGTGTCGGTGTTACCGGGTGTGCGTGTTGCAGAAGTGTGCATCAGATTCATATTACATAAGGCGTATGTGACATACAAACTCAATTTTATAGTTGAACCCTACTTCCGTGGGGGGCCGGCAGCATGACGATGCGGCGGCGGGTGGTGGGGTGGTGGACCGTGGGGTGGTTGGGGGTGGTTGAGATGGTGTGTCGCCACCTACAGTGTGCAAAGGTGCGCACGTACTTGGCCAGAAGCTGTCTGCGGACCTCCCGTCACCAGTGGGCGACTAAAGCACGCCATTAAAGCTTGCGAGCCCTCGCCCTGACGCACACTCGCTGATTGCCCCGAGAAAGGTGAGATTCTGCAATGAACACACCAAGTTTCCTCATGAGCGCCTGGCGCGCTTGCAGCAACCCACTTTTATGCATCAAAGATCACGACCGTCAGCAATTGCAGCCGGCCAACCCCTCTTGCACCGCCAAAACTCTGTGCCAGTGCAGGCGGGGCATACGCGCGGGTGATGAGGGGTATGATACCCAAAGGACACTTGTGCAGCAGCATGCGCGGCGGCGCCGTGCCTTAATACACATGCCATGCATCTCGTGACACCCAACCCAAACATAAGCCTTGGGCTGCGGTCGGCTCTGCACTGGCGGCGCATGCACATGAGTCCTCTGCATACTGCCAAGTATAGCAGCCACCTTAGAGAAGCGCTCTCTAGGTTGCGCCAGGCCATTACCCACTGCCGCGCCGCCGCCCCGCCCCAACCCGCCACCATCGCGTGTAGCAAATTGCCTTTGGCAGACCAGGAGGCGCCAGAGTGTGCTTACTAAGGATGACTGCGCTTGCAAAGTTGCACTGCCACCTACCCTGACACGCACCCTCAAACATCAAAGCACTCAATTGGGCAGGCCAGCAGGCACCATTCGAAGTGAGTCGATTGACTCTGGACGAGCGGCCCTGCTACCGGCACGACCAAGGACACCCAATCTCTTGCTCTGTCGGTGTCGGTAACGCGCACACACACGTTTTGAGGTGTGCCTCACCAAGAAACCTCCCAACCCCCGTGCTTGAATGTCGCTCCGTCGTTCAACATTTACTATTTGGGGTCGCGTTGTGTGTTACACAGGTCTGTTGAGAGGCCATCCCATTAGCACTCTCAAAGGTGTGGCAGATCTGTGGTGTTGCGCCGCGCCCCGTGGGCAAGGCAACAGAGTGTGGCGCTCAGGATTGGATTGGCGTGCGGTGGCACAGGACAGAGAGTGCAAAAACAAGTGCTGGATGGTAAATCAGATGTCATGCAAGGTTTGGTGCCGCTGCAAAACCTGTACGCGCCCTGGGCCTTGGTAATCAGGATACCAGACAGGGTGCGGTTTGCGCACATGCCGCGGCGTCGCATGACATCGCGGAGCCAGACGCTCGCGGCTAAACCCAATCGATTATTGGGGCTCGCCTTGCATTCACTTTATTGAGGGGAGTCCTTGGCATTGCAGGCCGCTCTAGCCAGACCCGCCACAGCCAACGCCTGGAGGCAGGCGCTTGGCGTGGTCCCATGATTGCAGGAATTGCCAAACTTGGCGCACACCGGGGCCACGCAAAGAAAGTGATCAAGGTAGTCATAATCCCAGGTAGAATAGGAAGTGCTTTCGCCATGACTAAGCACGGTTCTTAGCCGTTGCAATTGCCTCCCCTGGCACCGGCAAGCACTGTCGCGTGCCAGGAAACGGCCAGAGTGGAAGGATGAGGAGAGCGAGGCACAGCGAAGCGTGAAGCACCACTGAATCATGGGCTGAACAATCGGGAGTTTTCCAGGCTGGCGTGCGTTTGACGATGTTGCTTGCCCACCAAGCCCCACACACGCGAGCGTGCGCTGCCGCCACAGCGGTGCAGCAGCTGCTCGCCTCAAGCGGCGTGCCAGCCAGGGACGGGGCAGCAGGGAGCCGCCCAAGCCCAGGATGAGGCAGGTGGCGCCGTCATTATTCTTGGTGCGGAGCATGCTCGTGCTTGTGAACAACAAGGGGGGTTGGCTGGGGGCAGCGTCTCCCAAAAAAGTAAGAAAAGCCGAGAGTCCAATCGTCGGCCCTGGCCGCCGCCGCTGCTCAAACCGCAGATACCAAGCCTGCTATCACAACGAAGCCCGGGATGTTGATTTTATCAGTTGGCAAAACTGAAAAATGCCACGGAATGGTATGTTGGGGGCCATCAAAACCCCCGTCCCATGATATGTCAGGTGTGTGTCAGACGCATTAGGACAGGCTGGTGGTATGCAAGTTGCAAACCCAGCCAAGAAGCCCTAACACAAAGAGTTGCGAGGCTGGGCAGCTGCGCTGTATGCAGCCGGGCGCCTTCGAACGAGGAGTGCAAGATGTTTTGCTCGAGCGGTTGTCATGGGGGCGCACGCAACACCAGTCGCCTGTTTCAGCGCCGAATCCCCGGGAACCAAACCTGGTCGTCGACCGAGGGCCGGCCCGCCTCGGCAGGACAACCCCGCTCGTCACCGAAGGCGAGTAAGCAGCAGCCTGCGGCTGCCTGTGCTGGCGGTGGCAGAGTCGCCGCCCTTGAAAAAGGGGTAGGCTTTAATGCCGGATGACGCCTGGCTGCTGGTGTCGGCAGCAGCGGTGCTACTCTTGCCCTTGCCCTTGCCGTTGCTGCTGCTGCTGCTGCTGCTGCTGCTGCTGCTGCTGCTGCTGCCGCCGCTGCTGCTGCTGCTGCTGCTGTCGCTGGCGGCTGCGCTGTTGTCTTTACCCTTGCCGTTGCTGCTGCTGCCGTCCTTGCCCTTGCCATCGTTGCTGCTGCCGCCAGCGCCATTGCCGTCCTTGCCCTTGCCATCGTTGCTGCTGCCGCCAGCGGCATTGACATCCTTGCCCTTGCCATCGTTGCTGCTGCCGCCAGCGGCGTTGCCGTCCTTGCCCTTGCCATCATTGCTGCTGCCGCGGGGGGCGCTGCCGTCCTTGCCCTTGCCATCGTCGCTGCTGCCGCCAGCGGCGTTGCCATCCTTGCCCTTGCCATCATTGCTGCTGCCGCCAGCGGCGTTGCCATCCTTGCCCTTGCCGTCGTTGCTGTTGTCACCAGCGGCGCTGCCGTCCTTGCCCTTGCCGTCGTTGCTGCTGCCGCCAGCGGCGCTGCCGTCCTTGCCCTTGCCGTCGTTGCTGCTGCCACCAGGGGCGCTGGCGTCCTTGCCCTTACCATCGTTGCTGTTGTCGCCAGGAGCAATGCTGCCCTTGCCTTTGCCGCCGTGGTAACCCTTGCCACCGTGGTAACCAGAGTCACCAGATGAGTCGTTTGAGTCGTCGTCGTCGTCGTTGTCGTCGTTGTTGTCGTCGTTGTTGGATCCGGAGCTGCCCTTGCCCTTGCCGCCGTGGTACGTGTTTCCTGCGTGCAGGGTGCCGGCGAACGTGGGGCGTCAGTGCATGATTTAGTGGCGGGATTCAGCCAGCCATACATTTCATCGACGGGCATCCATGTCCTAGCAGCAGCATTGGCCGCGCCTCCGGCTCGTTTGTGCCGCTCAGGTTCTGTCCAGGTCTCCACAGCGCACTACCAGGGAAAGCCAGTCAAGGGATGGACAAAACGGACCGCTCACCCTTGGCGACGATGCGCTTGGTCGTTGCAAACGTGCATGACCCACCACCCGCCAGCGGCGAGGGGACCGTCAGGGTCGCGTCCACAGTCAGCTTGCCGCTGGCGGGGCAGGTCACGGGGCCGGCGGGCGCAAAAGTCCAGGTGCCCGCGTCCTTGATTTCGGAGTTGCAGGTCTCGGGGTTGAGGGCGACGGACTCGCCGGGCTTGCAGCGCGTGGGGTCGCAGAAGGGTTGGGCCTGCTGATCGGACCAGCATGTACCTAGTGAGAGGGTTTCAAGGGCGGGGTTTCGCGGAATGGAGGGTGGGTGAGCGGCCACATTTTGTGCAAAGGCAGGGTCGTCGCTGGCGACAGGGTGCTGTGACCTGCACAGACTGGCAGGCGGAGCTGAGTCAATAAACCGCTGTGCGCCACCCAGTGCCTGTGACTTGTCCTCACTTGCTACTTCAAAGTCAGCGGTGTGCTGGCAGCCGTCTTTGGAGACGGTGGCCGTGACGATTGTCGGGCGCTTGGGGTGGGGGCAGGTGTACGAGGTTGCGCGCTTGCCGTCAATCTCATAGGAGATCACGCCGCCCGCGACGCCTGAGGTGCAGCTGCCCTTGAGCTTGACCACGGCGCCGGCGGTCGGGCAGACGATCTTGTTGCAGGACAGGGGCGCGGGGCCCATGTTGGCGCATGTGGCTGCAGAAGTGGGAAGGGGTAGGCAGCGGGTCGAGCAACAGGCGCTGAGGTCAGAATTTCAGCGTTGGATGGATTTTTGTTCAGAGGCACATCTGGTGGGACATTTTATCAACCAAATTTGACCCCTCCACCAATGGGCTGGGAAGATCCACCAGGCCCCTCGCCTCAACAACACCGACGACCTGGCCAACCAGCTAGTAGTAAGCCGTGCAGCTCACATGAGACGACGATGGGGGAAGACTGGTACCCGCACGCCGCGTTGCCGCCGAAGCCCGCGATTGACGCGACTAAGGTTGCGGAGCCGCCGCCAGAGGGGCACGTCAGCTGCGTGGCGGGCGCGCCGTTGACGGTGTACACGATCTTGGCGCACTTCAGCGCGTTTGAGCAGAGACCGTCGAGGGGGATGACGTCACCGGGGCGCGAGCAGGCAGCGGTTGAGCAGGTGAAGGCGGCGGTGGCGCTGGAGGGGCAGGATGATGTCAGCGTGTAGCCGGCCGCGGCTGTTGGGGGTTGCAAGGGGGGGTTTGAAGAGGCGTTAGGCGAAGCATGTATGGGGGTAGTACTAGGTCGAGAAAGGCCGAGCAAGCAGTTCACCAAGGCGTTGTGGCGCCGCCAGGACAAAAGGATGACCCAGCAGCCCTAGCATTTTTGTTGCGGTTGGCAAGCACTCGGCAGGATGACGGCGTCTGTAGGCATCCATGATCCCAATGTGAGCACCAAAATGGCGGTAAGGCGGGCTCACGATAGGAGCAGGAGGGGATGCCGTAGCACGACTCCATAGAGGGCTCCACGCGCACGCTCACGCCCGGCGTGGGGCATGTGACGCTGTCCGCCGCGGCGCCGTCGACGTAGTATGTGAAATTGGCGCCCGCGACGACGCTGGTGCAGCTGCCCGCGAGCGGCACCTTCTCGCCCGCCTTGTTGCACGTGACTGGGGTGCAGGTTAGCTTGAGGATGGAGGGGTCGGGGCAGGCGGGGGCTGCGAGGGCAAATTGGAAGCGTTGCAATGAAACAGAGGAGGTTGAGCGGAAGTTGCAGCTCACAGGGGCGAATAAGTTACCAGAGCGGCATGGCAGCAACCCACTGCAGTGCTTGCGGCTGGTCAACGCCCTCTCCACGCGTCTAGCTGGTCAGGGACCGCATGCGTTTGAGGCGGCGGCGCAACGAACGCTCACCAGTGACACTGAACTTGGGACCCTTGTTGGCGCAGGCCGCCGCGCCGCCGGCGGCGCCCACGACTCTCGGCTCCACCACGACAGGGTCGACCTGCCGCGAAGGGCACGTGACAGTCGTGATCTCTGCCCCGGCCGCGTCAAAGTACTTGACAGGGCCGAGGGGGGATGTGCAGCTGCCGGGCAGCTGCATGACCTCGCCGACAAGGGAGCACTTGGGGGCCTTGCAGCTGAAGGCATTGCTGAACTCGGGGCCCTTGCAGGAGGCTGCGATTTTGTGGATGGTGAAAAGTCGAGCAGGTGAGCTCGGGACAGATGTATGGGTCGGTCCAGATGAGTGATGGTCTGCAGCCAAACAGGACCCGAGGTGCATCAAGTGTGGAAAGCCTGTGGCAGAGCTGCTCAGCGGCGCCCCTGATCCCGAGGCAAAATGATGCGTCTTCAGACACCAACAGTTGCTTTGTTGCCGCAATTTTAGGGTTTGCTCGTGCTGCACCCAAACCCATTTTGCTCACAGGTGATGGTGAAGCTCGGCCCCTCGTAGTTGCACGACCCGAGGTAATCCTCCACAGACGCCGCCACGGCCAAGCCGCTGCCGGGCTCCGGGCACTCAGCGCTCACAGCGGGCTGGCCATTCACTTTGTAGGTCACCACGGCGCCGGCGGTGGTGGTGTTGCAGACGCCGCTCAGCGCGATGGGCTCGCCGGAATAGCCGCAGGTCGGCGCGGCGGAGCAGGTGATTTGAACCGAGCCGCGGGCGGGGCACGTTGCTGCGAGGGGCAAAAATTCGGGAAGTTGGTGACCGACGCGTTGTCGGCAGGCCGTCAAGCAACAATCTGGCTCGGGATGAGATGCTGCAACACAAGCTCGCAGACAAGCCCAGCGCTAGGACAGTAAAGGCGCAAGCGGGTGACCCCCCCAGCCAGGCCTGAATGTGACGATTCATGGGGTGTGGACCTTGAGCGCCCGCTCACATGTGAACGTGACAGGGCTCCCGGTGTACTTGCACTGATCCGTCCCATTGTTGAGGTGAGCGGCGGGCGTCAGCGCCAGGCTCGCGCCGACGGCCGGGCAGGTGACGCTCGGGACCGCGGCGCCGCCCGCGTCGACTAGGGTGACGGCGCTGAGTCCGCTGGCGCCTGTCGCTGTGCACAGGCCGTCAGTCTGCACGACCTGGCCCGCGTACTGGCAGGCTGGCAGGCTGCTGCAGGTGATGTTGATGGTGTCAGCTGATGGGCAGGTGTACGCTACGGGATGGAGATTTGGGGGTTAGGACAAAGGTGGGGTCAAGGTTGAGAGAAAAGCTGTGGCGAGACCGGTGGGGCTGGAATATCCACGTGTGTGATGTTAGGAAAAGCAAAGTGAGCGAGGTCGAGCGCGCTGCAGCAGGCCCCATTGGGGCGCCGGTCACTCACGCTGCACAACAAAGGGGCTCTGATCGCCGTATGTGCAGCCGACGGGGCCTGAGACGACGGGGGTGACCGACACGCCAGGCTGGCCCAGCTGGGAGGGGCAGGTCACGTTGGTGGCCACCTGCCCATTGACCACTGGGGTTGGGGTAGGAGGTTAAGGTGGCACGTGAGCGGTGCATTTCCAGGACAGTCCTGCTCACATTGCAGGTGCAGAGGCTAAAAGCAACGACACAGCGAGGTGTGCGGCCAAGAGGGCAGCAACGGGAGCAAACTTGTCAAGGCACTGGCAAACCAGGGGTCCGAGGGTCCGGCTGGGCTGCTCACGGTATGACACTGACGCGCCGTCGATGTTGGTGGTGCACACGCCGGCAAGGGGTAGCACTTGTGAGAGCGCCTTGCACACCGGGATGTTGGTCCCGGGGCAGTTGGCCTGGGCAGACGCGGCCGAGGCGCAGGAGCCTGAGGAACACAAGGAGTTGTGATTGCAGCGGATGGGGGTGGGGTGAGAATTGAGGGCGCACGGCACGGAGAGGAGCGACGGGACGAGGGCTGCACATGTGCATGAGAGCATGACTGAGTGATGACGCGGAAGCTCAGCGGGTAACGGGGGCGGCAGCTCCGGCAAAACGGGCGCATGCGTGCCTAACCTGCGTTGCCCGGGACTCACTTGAGAGGGTGTAGGCGGCGGTGGCGTTGTACTGGCAGTCTGTGCTGCCGGCAAGGACAGGGCGGACGGACACTGCCAGGGCGCTCCCGGGCTCGGGGCAGGTGGCGAACACGGCCTGGGCGCCATCAATCAGGTACACGAGCTGGGCAGCTGCGCTGCTGCAGCTGCCTTCGAGGCTGACTTTCGCACCAGCCACGCCGCAGGCTGGTGGAGCCGCACAGCTGAAGGCGGGCGCCGTGGGGCAGGCGGGCTGCTGGGGGGCGGGCGGCCCTGGGATTGGATTAAGGCAGGGCAGTGCAGTGGGGGGTGAGTTTGGTGGAGGGAGTCACAAACAGAACTGAACACTGGCCATCTATCAAATCGTGCCCCGATGTAATACTTTCTGTGCGAAATGATCGACAATCCCACTTCAAAAGCTGTGTGAATGCACAAGGCCGGGGCTGCGCCAAACGCAGCCTTGCAGTGCGTGCGCACCTGTCACATTGAAGGCCAGTGTCGCATTGTAGGTGCACTCAGGTTTCAGGGGAATGCGGGGCTCGACGAAAACCCTGAGCTCCGCCCCAGGCTGGGGGCAGGCGGCCGTTGTGGCCGCCGCGCCGCCCACGATATAACTCAGAGTGATGTTGGCGTTGGAGGAGGTGCAAACGGTGGTCAGGTCAATGGAAGTTCCGGGGGCGCTGCAGGCGGGCGCCGTGCAGGTGTATGCCGGAGTCGGGCAGGAGGTGCTGGAATTCGAGCCGTCAAGGGGCCCACCGCCGCCGCTCTGGACGGTCTGGTTGGGGGCTGCGAGTGGGGATCGAGGGGAGTGGGAGGGGGCCAACGAGGGGAGAGGAGGGTGGGCCGCCGGGGTTGGCTTCAATTGGGGCATCAGCCGGCAGCCTGGCGGAGCACATGCCTGGTTGCGGGGCTGCCTCTCGCGGCAAGCAAAACGGCAAGTGCAGGGCAGAGCTGCAGGCAGAGGCGGAGCGCAGAGAATTGCAAGGACCATGGCGGCGGGGCAGGGGGGGACTTTTTCTGTTCTGAAGGGGGCACGGGTGACTCACTGGTGAGGTTGAAGATCGCGGGGATGTCATCATATGTGCACTTTTGATGGACATCCACAGACCTCAGGGTGACAGCCAGCGCCGCGCCGGGGGCGGGGCAGGCGGTCTGGTTCACAGGCTGGTTGTTCACTAGGTATATCCATGCAAAGCCGTCCTCGGGCCGGCACGCGCCGGCCAGCGCGACCGTGGCGCCGGCGGCGCAGGCCGGGGGGACGCAGGTTGGGACGGGGGGGTCACAAACGAAGCCTGTGGGGCGATTGGTGGGTTGTGGTCGAGGAGGAATGGGCGGGTGAGAATTTGGTTGGAGCAGGCTGGTGTTTCAGAATAAGGGTCTGCAGCAGCAGTAATTGAGGGGAGGGCGGCCCGAGGGGGGGGGGGGGCCAGGCATGCCAGCGCGACCGCGCGTATGCCAGAGACATGCGGCGCTGCATAACGGCTCCACGGAAACGCACTTCCGCTGCCGGTGTTGGCACCGCCACCGGTGCCAGTGCCGGAGCCGCCAGAGCCAGTGCCAGTGTCGCTGCTACTGTTGCCGCTGCTGCTGGTGCCATTGGTGCCAGTGCTGGAGCCGCCAGTGCCAGAGCCACCGGTGTTGTTGCTGCTGCTGGTGTTGACATTGGTTTCAGTGCCAGAGCCAGTGCCATTGCTGTTGCCAGTGCTGGTGCTGCTGTCGCTGCTGCTGCCGGTGCCGTTTGTGCCAGTTCCAGAGCCACCAGTGCCATTGCCGCTGCTGCTGTTGCTGCCGGTCCCACTGTCAGAGTCGTCAGTCACAATGCCGCTGCCACCGTTGACGCCACTGTTGCCCGTGCTGTTGGTGCTGGTGCCGCTGCCCAAGCCGCCGGTGTTGTTGGTGCTGCCACCAGAGCCTGTGCCGTCGGTGCCTACGCTACCTCCGCCGCCGCCGCTGCCGCTGCCGCTGCCGCCGCCGCCGCCGCCGCTGCCGCCGCCGCCGCCGCCGCCGCCGCCGCCGCCGGTGCTGCCGTCCGAGGCGAGCGCTATGGTAGGGCCGGTCACGCGGCAAGCCTCGGCCACGCCCGCGGCCTGCAGCAGGGACGGCGTCACGATGATGGCGCCGGTGGCGGGGCAGGTCGTGGTCGCGGTGATGACGCCACCAACCGAGTAGACGACTGTGCCAGCCGCCAAGTTCGAGGTGCAAAGGCCAGCAAGGGGCACTTGCGCGCCGGGGGTTGTGCATGGGAGCGACTGAGGGCAGGTCCAGGCGACCTGCTCGGGGCCGAAGGCGCACTCGCTGCCCTGGTACCCCCAGGTGGGCTTTATGAAGTTGAGGCTCAGGGCGCCGGTCTTGCCGTTCTTGGCGCAGCGTCGCTTGGCGATCTGGCAGAGGGCGCCGATGGGGTTGCCGCTGGCCGTCTCTTTCTTCATGCAGGCGGGCGCCTTGCCGGGCTTCGCCGACGCGGGCTGCGCGGGGGCCGTCAGCAGCTCCCGGCGGCGGCCGGCCGCGGGCGCGGGGGCAACGGCGGCGCCGGCGGCGGCGCCGCAGGAGAGCTGGCGGCCGGCGGCGGTGGTGAATGTGATGGTGGAGATGCAGCGCTTGGTGGCGCCGCCCCACTTTTTCATCTCAACGGCGTAGTTGGTGATGACATCACCATCGAGCACGACACGCGACAGGGTGTCGTTCGAGCGGCACTCGCTGCACAGCGCGTCGGCCGTCGGGTCGGCGGCGGCGAGGCGGTGGGCGCGGATGCTGGTAATACAGCCGTCGACGACGCAGCAGTCGACCGCGGTGATGGGGCCGTTGGGGCAGGCGTAGCTCCTCTTGCAGGCGGCCTTAGTGGTGTTGCTGGGGGTGGGTGAGGGCGGGTTGTGGGGGAAGGGGTATGGG